GGCTCTGTGCATTACTGGTACTGTGCAACTGCCATAATTAACAGACATTCATGTTTTAGATGAGATTAATCCTTTTTCAAAGACCCTGTAGTAAGTGAAATGATTGTCGCTCAAAGACAGAATCAAGTGTCCATCCACACATACTTTTAACCAGTGGAAATTATGGGGCGGAGAAAAAGACAGAGTAGAGCTGATCTCAGGAGGAGTAGAGCTGGACTTAGGAGGTGAAGGAAAGAAAAATTGAAAGATCTTGCAATTTTGCATTCAAATCAGGCTGTAAAGGCTTTCCAGTATTGTCCATTTCAAGGCAGATGGGAAAACTTGGCATCTTGGGAAAAGGCTAATCCTTACGGCTATGAACTGAACATCAGAAACAGTTGGAAAAACATCCCTTTTGAATGTTTTTAATAGCAAACTCTGTACCAATACGACTGCTGAGACAAGGATTATATAGTGCCTTTAAAGTAAGTAAAATACCATATGTACATGCATATTTAAGTAACTTCTGTTTTTAACCTGTTGCATAGCTCAGGACGCAACTATTCCTTATGAGTACAACTAAAAATATCTCCAATAATTTAGAAACATGATTTGCATAGCAATTTCTGAAGTGAAGCCAGTGGGGAAGGGTGGATTAAGAAGAAAAAGGGTGAATCACATGGAAGGTTAACGACACAGGAAATTGAGGCATTTAAGAGCTAACACTCAACTGTGCTAAGTCCTATTTACACATCATAGAGTCAAGCTCACACACTGCTTCCTGATGATGGTGGAGTTTCTTGGCACGGATGTGTGACAGAGAGAGAACAGATACTGTTCTCTATATCTCATTTGAGAAGATACATCATATATTTTCTCAGATGGCAAAACTGGCTTAAGAAGTTCTTGTCCTTGCTGCCAGCTATCTTATGGCTATGCATTCCCACATCTGCTCTGCAGTTTATTGCTCCTGCAGTTGCCAGTGCCACTGTAATTCAGACTATGCATTAAAAGGAAAAAAAATTGAAGAGGTATTATAGCTTATTATTACATTTAGTTATTTAGCAATCCAACGTACAGTGCAGCTCCTCAAGACTGATACAGATGAGGACGTATGTGTGTATGTGAGAAGAAAAAGCAGATGGGGGCAAATATGGGGCTGGTTGCTTGTTAGAGCAGCTTTGTCACAAAAGAAATGGATCAAGGACCTGCAGCTATATCACTAGACTAGTGTTCCCACATCTACTCTGCAGTTTATTGCTTCTTCATTTGTAGAAAGTGTTTTTAGTTTTTTCGTTTTCCCCTTCACAGATGCCAAATTATTTACTACCAGGAAAGAATTCAT